CAAGACTCGACCTAATTAGTATTTTACCAAATCGACCTTTGTAGACAGAGTTTCTGTCCCACTTGGTCCCACAGCTATTCAGTCCTAAATAAACACACAGAGGCTTATATTAGTAATAAACTGTTTGGCCTATTGCTCATGCTTATTACTAACTAGTTCTTACAACTTAAATTAACCCATAATTCTTACCTATGTTTAGCCATGTGGCTTGGTACCTTTTCTCAGTAAGTCATTCTCATCTTGTTTCCCCTACATCTGGCTTCTGACTGACTCTCTGCCTTTCCTTTACACAGAATTCTCCTAGTCTGGTTGCCCTACCTATACTTCCTGACTGGCTACTGGTCAGTCAGTGTTTTATTAAACCAATACTAATGACAAATCATCACAGTGTACAAGAGCATTATCCCACAGCATACCTTCTTGGCACAGGGAGTGCAATATGGCACCTAGTGGATACCAAGTGGCCTTCCAAAGCTTTAGGGCTGAGATGTAGTTCAGTGTAGAGTGACTATTTAGCTTGCATGGGCAGGCTCCTGGTTTCATCCTCAACACTGCTAAATTGATCAGTTAATTGAATGAATGAATGAATGAATGAATGAGTCAGTCAGTCAGTATCCAAGTCAGCTTATGTATCCAAGAAGAAGGAGAAGTCAGTTACTGTGCTGTGCTGTACTTGATTCAAATCACCATTGTTCAGAATTTTCAAGAATTGACTTGTGATTTTAAAAACGAAGAGGTGTGTGTGTGTGTGTGTGTGTGAAAGAGAGAGAGAGAGAGAGAGAGAGAGAGAGAGAGAGAGAGAGAGAGAGAGAGAGAGAAAGTTAGTATGTGTGGTTAAACATGGCATGTAGTTTGAGTAATCCTTAGATTGTATCCTAACCTTAATTCTGCACATTGTAAAGTGTGTCGGCTCTAATGAGAGTGCAATCACACTCTGCCTTTCTGTACTCAGCACTCAAAGCTGACTTCTCCACTTTTGCTTGGGCTGGGGTAGTCTCTAAGTGTAAGGGAGGTGCAGGGGATATTCCACTGCACCAGCATCTCTCCACAGAAAGGGCCACCTCTTAGAATAGATCTTAGCTTCTAGCAATATTTCCTTGTGTTTCACCCAGATAGCTTGAAGATATGAAAGCTGTTTCTTTCCCCATACTTGTGTTAGGTACTAGGTGTTCAAATGTGAGCCTTAGAGGGTCCTGACTTCATTCTGTCCCAGGAGAGTTTCAAGTAGAGCCTGGTTTAATGTCAGGATTCTTTGGTGTTAATGATCATGATATAAATGTTACTTTAAATTTTTTTATTTTTATGTATGTAACTGTTTTTGCCTGCATGTATGTCTATGTTCCACATGGGAACCTAGTGCCCACAGAGCCCAGAAGAGAGCATTGGACCTCCAAAGACTAGAGTTATAGACAGTTATGAGCGGCCATGTGAGTACGGGGAACTGAACCCAGGTCCTCTGAAAGAATAGCCAGTGCATTCAACTGCTGGGCCATTTGCGTTATTCTTATTAGAGTCAATAGGAAAAGGTAGTGGTGCCCAAAATGTAAGTGGTGCCTTGGTCCTGTTTTCTCAGCCTGCACTGAGGCCCAGTTTTTGTGTTTTGATTTGCTGCTTTTCGTTTCCCTCTGCTTCACCCAGTTAAAAGCCTTTGAGTTACTAACTGTGATTAGTTATGTTGAACGTTTTATTCTCCTAAATTCTTTAAAACTTTCCTTGGTCTGGGCCATTTGTACTACAGACCTCTCATCGCAGCACTCAGAAAGTGGAGACAGGAGGATGAGGAGCACAGAGTCATACTTGGCTACGTAGCAAATTTGAGCCAAAAAATAGGAGGAATGGGATGTTTAATGTCTAACCTTAGAGCCTCTGCAGGGCTGCAGTTCAGAGCGGAGCTTCTCGCTGTACTGAGCCAGTTTAATCAGTACTCACAGGCTTAGCCAGAAGTTCCACATAAGTTCTAAAAAATGTTCTACATAAAAAAGGACACTTCTTTGTAGAGCTTTAGCCAAATACTCATTTAAATTTTCTCAGGGCCTAAAAAGTTACAAAAATCAAAGGAGGAGCTTGCAAGAATCTAAGGTGAAGTAAAAAGCTGCCAGTGGACCAGCAGGTCACTCCTGGCCAGCTTATTCGCTGAAACATTCTTTGGTTCTGAAGTTATAAACCCCGTTCTCATTTCCTTCTAACCCTTTTACCCAGTGTACATTCCTGATGGAAAAATTTACAATTCGTCCTCAGTAAGTTTAGTTTCTGTGTGATTTGTGTTTAGAAATCAAAACCTGTCAATTTCACAAATATTTCAAATCAATAATCATAAGTTTATTTGGGATATGATCTGGACATTGTAACTCATGCCTTTAATTATAGCATTCATGAGGCTGAGGCAGGAGAATTCCCATGAGTTAAAGGTCAGCCTGGGCTACCATGTGAGACCTTGCCTCAAAAAACCAAAATGACAGAAAAATTACTACTAATTACCCTTTCATGTATAGAAATAACACAGATGTCATCAACGTGTCTGTAAAATCCTAGGGTAATTTTCATATTTGTATTCTCTGTCAATTTGTGACCTTGAACTCACAGGTCTCTCTCTCTCTCTCTCTCTCTCTCTCTCTCTCTCTCTCTCTCTCTCTCTCTCTCTCGGTTTTCTAAGACAGGGTTTCCCAGTAGCTATGGAGTCTGTCCTGGAACTAGCTCGGTAGACCAAGCTGGCCTCGAACTCAAGAAGATCCACCTGCCTCTGCCTATGTTATGACTTTTAATGTTATATCTTGAAAACAATTATAGGAAACTTGAAGGCTGCTCCTTTTTCACAGATTAGTGTCGTACTGTGGGTGTATTGTATTGATGACTTTTACTAATAAATTGGTTCAGTATCAGATTAAGAAGAAAAATCACAGTTTCCAGTGCTTTTTCCATTTGGAAAGTCAAAGTGCAGATCATGCATCAGGCACGATAGGTGTAAAACCTGCCGTCCATGGTGTCAATATTAGAAACTGATTTTATGGTTTTGGTTTTAAGTACATTTTATGGCTCATACGTATCTGTGTTTCATTTTTTAGAAAAAAATTTTTTTAAAAAAATGGATGAGAAGCTGGACATGGTAGTGCATGCCTATAATATCAGGAGGTAGAGACAGGAGATTGCCACAAATTCAAGGCCAGTTTACTCTACCTAGTGAATTCTAGGCCAGCCAGAACTACAAAGGTAGACTGTCTTTAAAAAAAAAAAAAGGTGGGTAAAGAAATTTAGGGTTTTTACTTTTAACTCTCTAGAAGTGACAGTCATTATTTTTTAAATAATCAGTGATGTTGGTTGCATAGCAATATTCATGTTTGGTATATATCTGGATTTCATTAAATGGCATGTCCTAGCGGGTGTCACTGTAGAGCTCCGGACGCTGGAAGGAAAGTGAGGTCATCTGCATCCTGTCCTTGTAATTGTGAGAGACAAGATTAGAGCCTAATGAAGAACACAAGCCTTAGTAAGAGTCCTGGCTTGCCTGGTCTGCAGAGCAAGTCCCAGGGTAGCCAGGGCAACACAGAGAAACCCTGTCTCAAAACAACAATGCCAGCAACAACAAAAACCCAAACAAACAAAAAGAGAATTATAGCCCCAGAGTTTAAATAATTCAGCTGAAAAAAGTGGCTCAGAGGATAAAAAATGTTTGCCACAGAAGCCCAGTGTCCTGAGTTCAGTCCTCAGACTCCATAGGAAGAAGAGCTAGTCTAGTGCCCAGAGCTGCCCTCTGACCTCCATGTGTGCACACCACACTCACACACATAGACAGCAACAGGTTTTTTACATTTTTATAGGGCTCTTATCTATGGCACTTAACTTGCTTTCCAAATAACTAGTTCTTTTTTCAAAGATTTTTTTGCCAAAATATCTTCAAATAAATTTCTGTGTATTTAGCAAGATCTCATTATATCCTATCATCTAATAATTTGTGTTCCTGTATGTGCATGTGTGTATGTGTGCATGTGTGCTCAGCATTGAAACTAGGTCATGATTGTTTCATGCATGAGCTTTACCACTGAGCTACAATGCTAGCCTTTAGTAATTGGGTTTTTTGTGTTTTTTTTTTTTTTTTTTTGTTTTTGTTTTTTCGAGACAAGGTTTCTCTGTGGCTTTGGAGCCTGTCCTGGAACTAGCTCTTGTAGCCCAGGCTGGTCTCGAACTCACAGAGATCCGCCTGACTCTGCCTCCCTAGTGCTGGGATTAAGTGCGCCACCATCGCCCGGCTGTAATTGGGTTTTTTGTTTTTCATGGTGGTTAGTTCATTGGTTGTTTGGTTAGTTGGTTGGTATGTTTGAAACCTGATCTTGTTAAGTAGCCCAAGTTGGCCTCAACTTGTGATCCTTCTGCCTCAGTTTCCCAAGTTCTGGGAAGGTGTGTGCCACAACATCCAGCTCTAAATCTTTTGGAAGTCTTGTTGTTCATTTGTGCATTCTGAACATCAGAGGCAGAAGACTCCTTCTCAATACTTGGTTTATGCTTTTGATTCTGTTTAAAAAACTGTATGGGGCTGGAGAGATGGCTCAGTGGTTAAGAGCATTGCCTGCTCTTCCAAAGGTCCTGAGTTCAATTCCCGGCAACCACATGGTGGCTCACAACCATCTGTAATGATGTCTGGTGCCCTCTTCTGGCCTGCAGACATACATACAGACAGAATGTTGTACACATAATAAATAAATATTAAAATAAAATAAAATAAAAAACTGTATGGCATGTTTCATCTTTAAAGGGCTGCTCAGTGTGCCTCTCTGGAGCCTCCAGCTTCTCTTTCAGTCTGGACGGAGGAGGAGTTTTGAGGGCAGTGCTTGCCTGTTTCCATATCACACTGGCTGTAATGAAGAAGCAAGTTGTCTGATTAGAGTGTGGATTGTGGTTACTGTCAAGCCAGGGGAGAAACCTATAAAATCTTACCAGTTCAGTACGCATTGTTCTGTGTGGGCTTAACTCTGCGGCTTTCCTTCACTGCATGCTCTTTCTTTCAGGAGAGAACTTTGCCGAGTTCAGATCCACAGGAACCGATGACGGCTTCACCGACTTCAAAACCGCTGATAGTGTGTCACCCCTAGAGCCACCGACAAAGGACACTTTTCCAGCAGCCTTTCCCTCCGGAGCTGCACAACAGAAACAGACACCAGCGAAAACCCCTCTGAACTTAGCAGACCTAGATATGTTCTCCTCAGTCAATTGCAGTGGCGAGAAACTGGTGCCCTTTTCAGCTGCGTTTAGCACGTCAAAGTCAGTTTCCACCAGACCTCCGCCGGCTGGCTCTGTGGCAGCCCCAGCAGCACTGGCATCCACTAAAACTTCTAGTTTGGTAGATGATTTTGGAGAGTTCAACCTCTTTGGGGAATACTCGAATCCTGCATCTGTTGGGGAGCAGGATGACTTTGCAGATTTCATGGCTTTCGGTAACAGCTCTATTTCATCTGAGGCAAAAGCAGACGACAAATACGACGTCCTCAGAGAGGAAGTGAGTTCCAGCCCCTTGGCCAACAGCACGGTGGAGAGTGCACAGAATCCACCTGCTGCATCTTCCAAGTACGATGTCTTCAAACAGCTTTCCCTAGAGGGAGCTGGACTGGCCATCGAGGAGTTCAAAGAGAACACTCCTTCTGCCAAGAGTGACGATGACTTTGCTGACTTCCACTCCAGTAAGTTTTCATCCACAAGCTCAGACAAATCCCTGGGAGAGAAAGTGGTGGCTTTCAGACACGCCAAGGAAGACTCTGCTTCGGTGAAATCGTTAGATCTCCCCTCCATCGGTGGCAGCAGCGTTGGCAAGGAGGACTCGGAAGATGCGCTTTCTGTTCAGTTTGACATGAAACTGGCTGATGTGGGAGGAGATCTTAAGCATGTCATGTCTGATAGCTCTTTGGATTTGCCAACAGTTAGTGGCCAACATCCTCCTGCTGCAGGTGAGGAATTGGTGAGATTGCTCTGGTGATGTGATGTAGATTTCAAAGATGATTCTGTGGGTTCTGTCTGACTGACAGACTGAGGCGCTGGCTCGTTACCTTGGCGGATATCTAGTAATTAATTAGCCTCCTGTTGTCTGTCTGCGTGAAGCAGTGTTCAACATGATGTTATGGAAACAATCTGTGGGTACTCTGACTGCTCCAGAACTTAGATTGGAGAGCCGAAATATTTTTATTTTTGAAACCTAATACTCACTTGGTGTCAGAGGCCCATACAAACCCACTGCTCAGTGAACCCCACATAGCCAGGAATTTTATAAAAACTTTTGCAGTGTCCACAGTGTTTCTTCATCCCTGTGAGTGGGATCAGTGCTCCCGCTCTCCTTTTGTCTTCTCTTGAGTACATTTAGAGTTGCTAAGACAGTATTTGTTTGGTTTACAGAAACTGACTCTTCCTAGGCCAAGAAAGTAAAAACCTCTTCCCACTTGGAATGCAGTTTGTCAGCTTCCTTGAGAAGAGGTAAAGAGGTCACTTAGGGATGCTTGGTGTGTCAGGACCTGGTGGGGAGCAGGCCTGTTTTCAGTGTTACTGTTTTGCAGCGTGACTGCGAGTATTAAGTTGTAATAACCCTGTAGATGCTAGGGTAGGGTAACTACTAACTTCTGATAAGATGTGTGAAAGCCTTTCACAAGGGAGCCCTCTTTAAACCCTGTGTGGATTCACATGTAGCAGTTTATTCTCTGGTCCAGCTTCCTGTCACAAGAACTAGATTCCCAAGTGTCCTAGTTTTTATTTCATTTTGTTTTTTAATATGTATATAGAAAGATAAACCTATTTTGTGGCCTTTAATAATGAGAACTATCTCAGCATTACTGTATTATTCTAGAAAAGGTAGTGTGCACATGCAGGGTTTGTTTCTTTACCTGGGAGGGACAGGTAAGACACTTCCAAGTTTACAGGCTCAGCAGACATTGTGAAGTGCTGTAGAGTCCACAGATTTCAAACTGGCAAATGGTGTCTGTCCTTTGCTACTGAAATGGGTTTCTTATGCTGGGTTTTGAATGGAAAGCAAAGTTAGCAAAGATCAGCGTGTTTCACCTGCTGCTAGCCAAGGGGTTTCCTAGGTGCAGCTGGCTATCTGAGCTCCTTCTGCCCTTTGCAGTTATTTCCTCATTTTTTTTCCCTGTTTTTCCTTTTTTCCTTTGCTGCTGTTTGTTTGATGGATGATTTTATTCTTCTTTTTTGTATGAGCTGTGTGAGCCACAACACTTGGTTGCAAGGGGCATTCTTTTTTAAACAACAGCATTTGATTTTTATTTAAAAAACAATTTCACAACATGTATACTAGCCTTTTGGACTTTGAAGTTATTAATTAGAGGCTATTTTTCTGAAAATGAATCTATATTCTTTCACAGTGCCAAACCACACATCTGTGAAATGAGTTAATCCAGGTTTGGGATGTCTTTTTCCTGCCTTTTATTCGGGAAGGAGAGGTTGACTTTTGACTGAGCTCATTCCAATGGACCTGTTAAATATTCTGTGCCCATGCTCTCTCTGTATGTTTGGAACACTCTCAGAATGGAACCTGCCATGTTCAAGCCCTCTCTCTTCAGAGGGAGGAGACCTGAAAAGCAGATTGTCTCCTTCTGTTGATCTGTAAACCTCTGGTGGGAACAGAGTAGTAACCCTTCAGAGCGGTTGTTACGAGGGTTGGCGGCTGACCAGGGAGTCATGCCTGTGTGTCCGTTGAGCAAGACTGCTGTATAAATAAATACATCAGAGAGGGAAGCGGTAGGCATTGCTTCAGTGCACTGGGACTTTATTCTACCCTTCCGCTCGCCATGGAGTGATGAACTTGCTCTCTTAGTCTGAGGGTTGAAAGGACATTCTAGAGAAAGAAGAAGTGGGCTGATGGAGCACAAAGAACTTGGATGATTACTGTCTATGGACGTGGTCTTGTTTGGAAACCCTAACTTAACTCTGAAGGGGATACTGTCTCTAACCCACGCTGTTAACTCTTTGTATGGACGGTAGATATACTAATAACATTGCCTGGTTTCTCTCTGCACATCATTGCATTTACCCTTTAGCCCTTGCTGCGTATAATTTCAATGAGGCTGCTCTCCCGCCCCCTAAATATACTCTCTCTGGCACAGCAGCGTCTTGATGTTCAGTCTTTAAGATCCTTTGTTTCTATGGCAGCAAGAGCTTACTTTGATTTGCGACTTTCTCAAAGGGTCAGCAAGACCTCTGTGGCTACCTACCTGTGAAGTAGCTCTTTTTGACATGGAAAATCTTTGTATTTTAATCAGCGCCTTATTATTTTTTTTGGCTGCTTTTCTGATGTCTTTTTTCAACACAGACACTTGTGTGTGGATATGCCCTTTGGAACTTGCTTTATTATTCTCTTTCTCTGCGAACACTGGCCTGCATGCTTACTCTGATGGCTCCTTCCCAGCTCTTCTGTACCATTCTCTTTTGCCACCTGTAAGTCCTGTGTTAATAAACGATTCTTTGGCATATTTTGAAAGTGTGGGGATGTGTGTAATTTGTGGTTTTGAGAATTAGGACAAAGAAATAACCTGGACGGTATAAAATTAAAGTCATGTCCCTTGAGACTGGGTTTTCTTTTTTCTTCCTAAGAAGGCAGAGGTATGGTTGCCTTTGCCTCTTGTATGCCCGTTGACAGAAGTCACTAATGTGGCATTGAGCTCATGTGTAGGGTTAGGCTCCTGAGCTCAGTTGGCAGCATGCTTGCCAGCATCTGCAAAGTACTTATTTAATCCTCAGCACGAATAAATCAATGTATGTAGATATATAGTAAGCACACTCCTCAACGATGCAAAAATAAAGCTCAGCCAGATGTGAGACACACACCAGTGACCTTCGCACTTGTGAGGCTGAGACAGAATTGTAACTTCAAGGCCAGTCTGAGTATACTACTGTGTCTCACTAGACAAAGTAAAATATATACACATATATATAGACGTGGAAATGACCTGGACACCTGCACATGGCGCACGTGTGCTCACACATAGATATTCTACACACAGCAGTAATAAACGTTAAAAGCTAAGACAACCCTCAAAACAAAAGAGCTAAGCTTTAAACTATTTTCATTTTTAAGAAAACAGTTTCTGGGCTGACTCAGTGGTAGAGTATTTGCCAGGCACTAAACTTGATCCCAGCATTGCAATAAATCAATCAATAAATTAATAAAAATCACAAAGACCAGTGAAAGTTAGCAATAAGTAGCCAGCCATGAGAACTATTTGCTCTATTTTAGGATAGGGTAAGAGTGAGGAACTCTGGCAATAGTCTTTTCAAGTCCCAAGCCCAAGCTACATAAAGATTTTGGGGAAAGGATCATTTCAATGTTTTTAGTTTTTATTCATGATTTGAAGGTTTTAAGTTTATGTTCATTTTTAGAAGTTGTAAGGAAAAAGGATATTGAACTCCTGAAAATGTGAATTTTGAGTAGAATTCCAGAAATCACTTTCATGTGCCACCCAAGAAAGAAAAAAGCTGGGTGTTGGGGTTAAAATTCACCCGGAGAAGCCAGGCCTTCCACTCAAGATGTATAATGTGCTGAAAGTTGAGAAGTCGCTGTTAGAACCTTGGACAGGCGCTCTGCATTTTAACTATGTGGACTGCTAACAACCTTGGGAGAAAAGCCTCCTGCCAGTGACTCCAGCAGCTTCGATCTCCACTGCGAGAACGACCTCATGGGGCTGTGGCTTTCCTCTATCAGCAGATCCTCTACAACCAGGACAGTCTACTAGGTTTGCTTTAACTCCCTTGTGAGCAGAAGTGACCATCCCTGTGTCTAACTGCCATTCACTGAACAGTTCGTTGTGTCTAGATAGCATATGATTTTTAGGGAGGTAGTTTTTTGTTGTTGTTGTTGTTGTTGTTGTTACTGATTTTTTGAGACAGAGTTTCTCTGTGCAACAGCCTTAGCTGTCTTGGAGCTAGCTTTGTAGACCAGGCTGGCCTGGAACTCACAGAGATTTGTCTGCCTCTGTCTCCCAAGTGCTGGGATTAAAGGCGTGCATCACTACCGCCTGGCGAGGTAGTTTTAATAGTACAACACAGCATCCCTTTTTTGTGATAAAGATTTGCATTCTGTGCTGTAGGTTCAAACAAATAACCCTGTGGTGTTTGTCCTGATGCCAGGTAAGATACGGTTGGCTAATGTTTGTCTCTGTCAGTGCAGGAGACTCCCACAGACATGCTAGTGTTCTGCTGGCACTGTGTTGTTCCTGTTAGAATCTGTGCTGATTACCAGAGGGTAAGGTGAGAACAGAGAACACTGGCCATGTCATACAAGCTGTGCTAGCATCTAAAATAGTTGAAGGAATTGGTTGCTATTATCTGTTGCTGTTTGAAACAGGGTTCCTCTATGTGGCCCTGGCTGTCCTGGAACAGGCTGGCCTTGAACTCACAGAGATACTCCTGCCTCTGCCTCCTGTGTGCTGGGATTAAGGTGTGCGCCACCACCACCTGGTGATGGTTTTTATTTATACTTCTTTTGTTTTATTTGCCTCAAGGGCTCACTATGCTATCTAGGCCACTCTTAAACTCCTGAGTTCAAGTTATTCCCCTGCCTCAGATTTCAGAGTTCCTAGGGTTCCAGGTACATGTCATCATGCCCAGCTATTTTTATTTATGTATATGTATTTATTGCATGCTAAACAAGTGCCTTACCCCCAAGCTGCACTCTCAGCCAGAATCACTTTGTCTTTCTTGAGTGGCTATCATCTGAGGACTTTTGATAAGGTGTTTGGGAAATGCCAGCTAAGTGATTCGGAGAACATAAGAGGACATATACCCTGGAGGCTCTGCCCCCTAAGTCTGCTCTCTCCCTTTTGATAGCCAGAAGGCCTTCATTTAATTACCATCTTTTGTGCTCATTTGGTATCATTTTGATGGGATTTCTATTATTTTTACTATTTTTAATTATATTATGTGTGGGAGTGTGCATTTAAGTGCAGGTGCT